GTAAATGGTAGACAGCATTTATCAGAATAAAACGTAAAACCACTCTGGTGAAACCACTGATGGTTCTCTTTGCATTTAGGTGCCATATGCCCTTCCTTACACCACTGTAAGTACAGAGAGGAATCTGCTTCTTTGATTACTAAAACACAAGACTTAGCATATTAGAAAACATATTATACCTTTTAATTCCCTTCATAATTCTTAGAATTGCTAAGAAAGCAGGGCTAGAGATGTGGCTTTGATCAGGGAGAAGTCTGACCCTAGAGAGGTTAAAATCACAGGGCTTCAAATTAAAATTGTTGGAAAACTGAAACACAACAAAACAAAAAAGCTATAGTAGCATGAATGTAATCACTTAAACGAATGGACCAATTCCTTGAACAGAAAATATGACAACTCATTCAATATAAAACAAATAATCCAAAGAGTCTCATAACAATTAGGAAACTAAACTTTTACTTTGAAACTCCCAATATAAAAATCTACAAGCCCCAATGGTTTCACTAGAGAATTCTACCAGATGCTTTAATGAAGAATCAACACCAATTCTATGCAATCTCTTCCAGAACACAGAAGAGAAGAAAACAGTCCCCAATTTATAATATGCAGTCATTATTTTCCCAAAACCAAAACTAGGGGGGAAAAGTTTTTTAAAAAATACAAACCATTTTCCCTCATAAATATAGATGTAAACATTCCTATCCAATACAAGCAAAAGAGAGTGTAACAATAGATAAAAACATATACCATGACCAAATGGATTATTAGAGGGATACAACACTGGTTCAATATTTGAAAAGTCAATCTGCTTTTCTTTAACATGCTAAAGATAAAAAAAAAAAAAAAAATCACATGATCACATGAATCAATGAAGAAAAAACGTCTTAAAAAATTCAATACCTACTCATAATCCCAACTCTTAGAAAAATGGGAATACAGGGGAAATGTCCTCAAATTGAGTCTTTTAAATGTACAAAATACTCAAGCTAACCTTACACTTAATAATAAAAGACTGTGTTCCTTCTAAGATTTGGAATAAATATAGGATGTTCACCCGTCATTCTTATTCAACACAGTACAGCAAGTTCTAGTCAGGGCAACTAAGGCTAGAAAAGGAAACATGAGAGATACAAACCAAAAAGAATGATATAAAATCATTTGTAGAAAACCCTAAGGAATCCACAAAATGACAGAGCCAGTAAGCAAGTATAGAAAAGTGTCAAGAGGGGGATAGTAGAGGATAGGAAAGGCAGCAGAACACAACAGACACTAGTATGGCAATATGTAAATCAATGGATGTGTAACTGATGTGATTCTGCAATCTGTATATGGGGTAAAAATGGGAGCTCATAACCCACTTGAATCAAAGTGTGAAATATGATATATCAAGAGCTATGTAATGTTTTGAACAGCCAACAATAAAAAATTAAAAAAAAAAAAGAAAAGTGTCAAGATACAAGATAAACATACAAAAGTTAATTTTTACCTATTGGCACTAAACACACGGGGCTGGGGTGGAGCTTAGTGGAGGTGCAATGCAGTATGCATGAGTGAGGCCCTGGTTTAATCGCCTGCACCATAAAAACATAATAACAATAATTTATAATCACCAAAACTAAACAACTTGATATGATTCTAAAAACATGTGTTAGACTTGTGCTCTTCTTTTTTTTTTTTTTTTTTTTGGTACTGAGAATTCAACCCAGGACCCCAAGAATACTAGGCAAGCCAAATGCCACTATACCCCCAGGTATATCCCCAGTCAAGACTTGTGTACTGAAAAACTACACAATGATAATGAAAGAAACCAAAGATATAAATAAATGAAGAGACTTACTATGTTCATTTATTGGAAGACTAAACATAGAAAAGACGTCAGGTTTTGCTAAACTGAAATGCAGGTTTAATGTAATTCCTATCAAAATTCCAGCAATACCTTTTATAGACATAAATATTCTGAATCAGATTGTTCTAAAATTTATACAAAAGGTGAAATGAACTAGAATAGGTAAAACAATATTGGGGGGGAAATAGGAGAACTCAGTATGATTTCAAGACTTATTATACACTACATGTAGTAATCAAGGTTGTGTGGTATTGGTAGAGAGATAAACAGCTCAAAAGGAACAGAATAGAGAAGGGTCTAAAAATAGATGCTTTCAACTAAGTCGAGCTAATTTTTAATGAAAATAACCAATAGAGGAAATATGACCTCTTCAACAAATAGTGCTAGAACAACCAGACATCCATAAGCAAAAATAAAAAAATTTAAAAATACCCTCAACCAAAATTTCACACCTTATATAAAAGTGAACTCAAAATAGATCATGGACTTAAATGTAAAATGTAAACTATAAAAGTTTTATTAAAAAAATAGGAGAAAATATCAGAATTGAGAACTAGGCAAAGATTTCTTAGACTTGATACCAAAAGTATAATCCATTATCAAGAAGCTACTGGAGGACCAGCTCCACCAACATGAGAAAGTAAAGCAAAAGAGGAAAAAAAGAAGGCAAAGGGAATGCCTAGGAGATTTCAAGATGAGGTAGCCAGTCCTGACTCCATCAAGTCAGAAGACTGGGAGAGAAATCTTCAAATGATTAAAAACAGATATAATATTAAATATATCTAAATACTCAAAAAGTGATTTACATAACTTAGGAAGTTTTACTTTTACACTGTCAAAAGTACAGAGAAAACTGAGATCAAAAGAGGAAAAATAAGATAATTATTAATCTGGTAAAAAAAGTTAAATGGGAAAGGTTTGGTAATCACAGTCTACTAGAAGATTAAGCAGGAATAGTTTTCTTATATAATAATGTAAAAACTAATACTAACATACCAACATACTGCCAAAATTTACTGGTATTTTGAAAGAATGGGGCATGAAAATAAGGTATTTAGGGAGAGGGCTATATAGGGGATGAAAGAGAGCTAAATCTTTACTTCCCACAGGTGATAAAATGGAGGGAAAAGCAATAGTAGCATGTTATTCTAAAATACATCAAAAGACTCAACTATTATGGTTACTTCTGGAACCCTAAAATGTCCTATGAAGAGCTTATAGGGACTACTTGATTTTTTTTTCCCTTTTCTTTTTTCTTTTATAATCTCAGTTCAACTATTTGACTGTGTAAGCTTTTGAAAAATATAAACTGAACTAAAAACAAAACTCTAACAGCTAATGCATGACTGGGCCTGGACCTGAACCCATGTAAATTAATTCCTAATCAGGTCAGGTCCATTAATTTGTGGGTACTTGTGGGCCTGTGCTTCTTAGTTCCTCCTCTAGAATGCCTGGCCAGTATAGAGTAAGTACTCAAACATGTTCCTAAATGATGGGAGAATGTGATTGCTTTTCTAATACAAGTAAATGAATGAGAAGAGCATCCTAAGCAGAAGAAAACAGCAAAGCAAAGAAAGTGTGTGAGCACTGAGCAAGCATACTGCAAGTAGGGGGAGGATGAGGAACAAGGAGAATATAGGAATGGTAACTTGAAGCTGCACGGCAGGGAACTAGAAGGAAATTGGCACCTTGCAGATAGATCCACATATTCACATGGTCTCGAGCCTCAGTGGGTGGGTGGCTTGTTCTGCAATGGTGGCAGTTCCTTCCCAAATAGTTTCAGTTTTCTAGAATCCAAAGTAGTGCCCAGCTCTCTAAAATCCTGAGTTCTGTAAGTAGCCCAACTGCAGTCCAACTAGTTACTCTAAGCTGCCACTGGGCAAGTGACGCCACAAGGGGTGGACAAAGGCAAGCAAAGCCTGGTGGAATGTACACACTAACAGCCCCATGCAGTTTTTGAAATTCTTTACAAAAGTATTAAGATTCAGGATACAAAGGAATCATCTCTGGGTGAACATATGCATCTGCTCTTACCATTATTTATATATTCACTTTTTCTAAAATGTATTAAGACATTTATTCTATGTCAAGCAGTGTGTGGGAGTACAAAGTTTCTGATTTTAAGTAATTACTTTCTGACAGCAGAATGACTTAAAACATAACAGGCTAAGCAATATAATTAGTATAAACAAAAGTACTGTGGAAAACAAAGGAAAAACAGTCTACATATTTAAAGTTTTTTTTTATTAAGCACAATGTCAAACCAAGGTAAAAGAAAGAGACTACTCTAACCTACTCCTGCAGCCATCACTCTGCTTTGATCATCAACTCATGACCAATCAATTTTGTTTTCTTCCAAACCAACTGATTATTTTCAAGACATCATATTATTTCATCCAGAAGCACATAGGGAAATAGAGACTTTTTCTTTAAACAGAATATAAATCTGAATCTCGAAAAGTTAGTATGCTTTTTTAAAACTGAGGAATTATTAATGATAAATTGCAGATCTTAATATATTCAGTTGAGTTCTAATATTTATATACCCCTGTGTGACTACTACCTAAACAACAGATTTGCATGACCTAGAAAATTTTCATATGCCACTTCCTGGTCAATTTTACTTCTAGCACCATAGATCAATTTGGACTGTTCTTGGACTTTTACAAATGGAATCATATTTGTAAGGTTTCTACCTTACAAGCATTCCAGGTAGAAATAAATACATGTGCAAAATGTAAAGTTGTATAAGGATACATTCATGGAGTGTTGAGGAGCCCAGATTGGGGATTGCTAACTGATAAAAGGACAAGACTAGAAGAGGAGGCTCACTGGAAAGTCAGGTTTCCAGGTTGTATGCCACAAATGATTTCTGGGAAACAGGTTTATTAAATAAGCTTTTCCCAGGGCCCCAAACTACTTCTCTGATCTAAAAATTGTTCAGTTCTCTAATATGCTCCTTTCTCCTCAAATTCCAGCTGAGATGACCAAGGCAGGAACAGGGTTCTATATCTCCTGGCTCTTCACTCCCACTTGTCCAGAGGCCTCTGCCATCTCAGAAAAGGGAACACACCCCCGTGGCTTTCTTATAAGAGGACACAGTCTCTACCCCCCATTTTAAGCCAACAGTCCCAGGTCCAAGGGGCAGCCTTACCATTATCTGGATTTCCCTCTTGCACACCTGGAGATCATGCTCATTGTTGACAAACATGCGTTTCAAGGCACATTTCATCCCATTGCTTGTCCTCACCAGAAACACGATAGCAAATCCACCTGCGAGAGAAATACACATGTAAGCTCTTTTGAGTCATATTCAAAGAGCCATTCAGATGACTATTTGGCTGGAAGTTGGTACTGTTATCATTAATGGTACCAATGCCACCATCAGTCAGTTCTTAAGGTTGGCCTGGCCTAAAAGGGTATTTGCCATGAGGTATTAGATGCTTAGAACTCAAGAAATATTATCTGTGGGACTCAGGAGCAAGAAATGTTCCTAACATGTATCTAGGGATCAAGGAAGAACAGTAATTATCTTTCAAAGAGCCTACAAATAACCAATGAGTACACAGAGGAAGAAAAAAGACCTAACTACACTCTAACCTCCATCCTAAGCTTTCTGATACTCTTTTAATTCTTACCACAATCCTGAGGCTAGATGTTATTTTTTCCTATGAAAACAAAGGCTCAAAGAGATTTGATTCAAATCAAGATTTATTTTTTACATGTAAGTCCAGTACTCTTTCCCTCTCAGAAAGGCTAGAAAGTTATTTCAATAATTGCTATTAAAAAGAGTTGTTGGGCTGGGATTGTGGCTCAGTGGTAGAGCACTTGCGTAGCATATGAGACACTGGGTTCAATTCTCATCACAACATGTAAGCAAATAAATAAACAAAGGTCCACCAATAACTAATAAAGATATTTTTTAAAAAAAAGAGTCGTCAAGTGAGCTGAGCATAGTGCCGCAAGCCTATAATCCCAGCAACTCACAAGGCTGCAGCAAGAGAATCACAAGTCAGAGGCCAACCTCTGCAACTTAGTGAGACCCTGTTTCAAAATTAAAAATTAAAAAAGAGCTGGGGATGTAGCTCAGTGGTAGAGCACCCCTGGGTTCAATCCCTCATACTACACACACACACACACATACACACACAGCTGTTGATTTATTTCAAGAAATTTCAATTTCTTCTCACTTTTCCTCACTCCATCCCTAATTCAAATCTAACAGTAGACCTTGAGGATTCCTTCTGCCCTCCCTAATTTATGGGTAATTGAAAAGATCCAAGATACAGGCATAAGAGTGCTATTCTACATAGCAGATATTAGGACTCAATTATTGGGAAGACTTTTTTAACATATGCACTAACCCTTCTCTAAAAGACAGTTCCCGGTTCATTAACAGAAATTTATATAACTCTAACAGGAAATTCCAAATGCTCTAAATTTCTTAGAGTGTAAAGTTTCACAAATTCTTAGAACTCTTAACCTCAACCTCACTCCCAAAGCACCATGAGGTGTTCTATGCCCTTATTAAGAGAATTATCTAGACAAGGTATGGCAAGACTATCAAAATCAAAGGTTTTGGAATGAGCAGCAGTTATACTGAACACTGCATCCATTGGCCTGCATGAATACCTTCATCATTTAGCTTGCATATGTTGTCCATTTACTCTTAGCAGCAAAAAAAAAAAAAAAAAAAAATCACTAGGCTATTCTTTGTACAGAGCCAGTCACTAATTTGGTAGTGTGAACCCAGGGAAAACTCATCAGTATGGGAACTTGGCTGAGGTTATGATGTATTGAGGATGCAGCTCAGTGAAGCTGGGTGTTGGGGCTAGCAATCACCTGCAAATTTGTTGTAGATCAATAAATAGCTATTCTACAGAAATAAGTCTCAGGTGCCATTCTAATTCCTCTGAGGCTCAATGGCCCTTCAGTACCTGTCTATTAATGCCTATAGCATTTCCTATTTTATCTTTATAGTAATTACACTTTTTCAAATTAACTTGAGTAGGATTCTATTCCTTGCAACCAAAAAAGTCTTACTCAGAAGCACTGTTTTGTATTTTCATAAAACACACACATAATTCTGTGAAAGAACGTTTTTAATGAAATTAGAGGTTCTAAATGTGCATTATGGTAGCAATCTACCAGAACCTGCTGCCACTACCTTCTTTAACATTCAGATAAACATGAAATTTTATCATCCAGTCTTTAATTTTAAACACCATGTCTCTAATCCTGGTATCTCAATACCACTTCCCATCTTCTTATCATACATTACTCATTATCAATTTTAATTCTAGAATTTTGAGTATTTGTTTATTATATGCAGTGCTGACAATAGAACCCAGTGCCTCACACATGCTAGGCAAGTGTTCTACCACTGAGCCATAACCTCAGCCCCCAAATTCCTAAATGCTAAGATGCATAATATTTATATTTTAATTTTTAGGGTATCAGAATTTGTCCTGTAATAGATATGTAATTTTAATGCAGCATTATTTATCTTCTTTTTCTCTCCCCAAAATTATTAAAACCATGGATGTATACACTTTATTTTTTTTCTTTTCTACCAGTGATATTGGGGATTGGACCCAGGGCCTCATATGTACTCTATCACTGCATCCCCAGCCTTTTTTTATTTTGAGACAGGGTCTTGCTAAGGTGCCCTAGCTGGCCTCAAACTTATGACCCTACTGCCTCAGCCTGCCAAGAATCTAGGGTTACAGGTATGTCCCACTGTCCCCAGACCCTGATGCATATTAGAACTAGAGAAAGTGGTAGTATAAATTATAAAATTTCTACTTATATTCATAATTGTTTTGTACATAGTCCAAGTGGGTATTCACTTAACAGATACTTTGGATACTTTAAAATATCATACACTACACACTCTCTACTAGTAGTACTCTTGGATAGCATTAAGTTCAAGAATTTTGCTATATGGGTGGAGAAACCGAGTGAAGCTCAAGAGTCTCAATGCAAGCTATAGACAGAACCTACAGCAGTATCAGTCCCCTGACTGTCCAAAAACCATTATAGTTCACATTTGGAAGAGAAAAAACATGTAATATCCTTTAAAGGAGACCTCTGACAATGCTGCAGAATAAAAAGTAGAAATGGTATTTCTTTATTGGACATGGTTAACCCCTTCATTTTACTGATAGCTATGTTCTATGAAGTTAAAGAGAACTTGCAAATTAACTCCAAAATGTATATATTAGTTCTTGCCTTTCTTGTCTGAAGAGCTGATGGGATATTCTCCCACCCAGTACCCATATATGACACATTTTAAAGGCATTTCAATGTGTGATGCCTGGAACCACTAAAGGACCTGTTTTTAGAAGGTAGATGATGCTGCAATTTGAGATAGTTGCCACCAGATGGGAGCAGTGCTGTAGCAGATGGGAACAGCATAGGTAGCAAGATGCCCTTTCCAGCCAGAATGAGTGAAATGGGTCACCTACCACATAATCAGCAAGCACAACTTGTTGAGAAAAGACAGTCCAGAGTCTTGAAACCTATGACCATGATAAATATAAAAGCAAAGCAAAGAATTACTAATCCTAATATAGATGGAACCACATTATTAAGCATTTGTGCCTATAAAAGGGTAGTTTGTTTGTGAGAAGGATTTAAACCATGAGCTCAAAATCAAAAGCTTCGTAGTATTTGTCATTCTTAAGATGCCAGTCACTTAACACCATGTAGTTGACCAAATAGAGGTGCAAACTATTTGCTTAGAAGATAGAGGGGAGACAACAGCACACAAGCTACTTCTTGGTCCAGGTTCACCACATGTATCAGGGTACTGACTCTCGGCCTGGATAGGATCCAAGCTACTATAAAAGAGGCTGCCAACAGAGATGACTGAATAGAGGTGCTTATTTCAGACCCAGCTGCATCCCAAGATCTTGATTAAATAGAAAAACCCAAAGCTGCACAGAGGATGGTTTAAGCAGAGGTAAGGAAATCTAACTGGCCTGTGCCAGTCTCTCTGCCTTTGGCATTCTGTGAAACACTATGATAACCTCATCCATGCATTTAATGAATCACAGAAGGAAAGGATCTGATCTACTAAGTGAAGCAAGGAGGATAATTTTGACACAGACACACTCTGCCTAGTAAATATGTAGGAATTTTTTTTTTTTACTTACACAAAGAAATATACTTTCTACCATTTTCCCTGAAATATATAGCAGGCTTGGTCTAACTTTCTCTCCTTAATTTTTTTACAGAAATGTAGAAGGATATTTACAATTCACTATGAGTTTAAACGTTTTGTCTGTTTGGTTCCCCTCTGGATCATCATGCCCTAGAATAATACCTAACAAATAGCGAGTATTCAATAATGAATTAACTTTCTTAATCGATCTACACAGAATAGAAAAGGCAACAGAGTATGGTGGATACTATGGGAAACTAATGAGCATGACCCATACAAAGGGACAGCTACTATGCAACTCCAAATTGTTATCATGTAAGAATGTTGACTCAGTTTTGTCAGCAACATTAATTTCTAAGTAAAAGCTGGAAACCCAAAATTTTATGTGAAACCTCCAGATTTGAACACTGGCAACAAGTCATGTTTTAAATTAATGCTGGAAAGGCCAACACTGCAGAGGCTAAAACAAACAAACAAACAAACAAAAAATGAGCAAACCACATATCTTAAAAGCTTTAAGATTCTGAGCTTCTTGGGATTTCTACCTCTGATCTAGTCTAACCCCTTCATTTTACTGACAAAGAAAGGAAATGACACAGCCCACATTCCACAAAGTTAAAAGATAACTTGCAAATAAACTCCAAAATACACATATTAGTTCATCAATGGTTATTATAGTTCTTGCCCTTCTTGACTCAAAAGGAATAGCGCCTCCACCCATATGACTATTTTAAAAGCATTTCAAAATGAATTATTTCACTTATATTTTCACAATAACTGAATAAGGAAGGTAAGTGACCTATTGTCTCCATTTTTCCAATAAGAACAAGATGCAAAGAGCTAAGCTCTTTACACAAGAATACACAGAGCTAGTTGGTAGTAGAATTTGTACTAGAGTATTCATTCTTTTCAAGCTAACATATAACACAATATATCTGTTTTAAGTGTACAGTTTTCACAACTTTATACCTTCATAATTATCATACAAGGGGATCTATCACTGCCAACAGTTTTTCATGCCCCTCTGCAGATAATCTCCCATCCTCCCCCACATCATCACTCATAACTTCACCCCTACTTTTTCCATCTCTAGGGTTTTGTTTGCCTT